CATTTTGAGGAAACAGGAACTTACAATGTTAAATCAGGAAGGGGTCTCAAACAGGTGAAACCAGCGAAAATGATGAAAGTTGCAATTGCCTTAGTGGAACAGCAAATGGAAAATTTTCAAGGCAGTTCATGCACAATATCATGGCAATTGCACATGTCCTACCCTAAGGTGTGGAAATTTTGAACCAAATATTGCAGTTTTACTCCTAAAGGATATCTTAGTCACAATTTGTTTCCTGGCAATTATACTCAGCAAATCTTTTGCCATATAATTCATGGCACAGATGATTGATAATTCATTGGTCCTAACAAATTCTATAGAACAGTGAAGCCTGTTTTTTACTTGAATAGTGTAGTTAATACAAACAACTGCCAAAGTTTGATATGAAAAACCCACTTGTTTATGAATAAATTCTCTTACATTAACCAAAAATCACATGTGGTGTTGGTTCATGGCATCCTTCAACTCTGGCCTTTTTTTTTTTTTGAAGAAAACACTACATCTGAACCAGAGACATGCCCTATCAATGTCACTAGATATGAAAACATGCTTCTAAATTTTGTCATCCCAGCATTTCATTTATAAAGGAAATTGGACAGATTATTCAATTATTCTTCTACCTTGGATTAATGTATCAATTTTTTAAAAGTCGAAATAATAATCTTTAGACAAGGTGGAAGGCTGAGAAAAGCAGATAAGTTTTTCCTAAATGGAAGAGAAATTAGTATTGTTAATTAAGTTACTTATTTGGGGATTTGCTTGTTAGCCTCTGGTTCATTTCTAAATTATACTTCTTATGTTAAGGGTAAAGCATACTCTAAATAAATACAGTTATTGACATTTTGAGAAAGGTAAGAAATAGTCATATGGTCCTGTGTAAGAAACTAGCAGCCTCCTTATTTATTTTGAGTTGGTCTTACAGCCTGCGCTTCTGGGGACCTTTGTTTTGAAGACATCAATTCCATAGAGTTGATGTTCTTCCGTCGTTTTTTTGGCCTTGAGAGGTCGATCCCATCGTATGCAATTAGATCTGAATTGGGTCTTGAGTTTCCCCGGAAATGTTTTGTTAAATTAACCTTAAACTTTTTGAGAAACACAATTTCTGACCCTTCCTCTTTGGAATATGTGGCTTATTCTACCTTGAAGCAGCTGTCATCGATCAGATCATTAAAATACTGTTGGTATACTAAACTAAACTGAAGGGACTGTTTAATACACAAATTTTCAAACTTATTTTGACCACCATCCACATTGAGATTAAAAAAAAATCTAGTGCCCCCATATTTTTAACTTACCTTTTTACATTACCATCTGTTGCATATCTTAAAAACAGTTACTGCAAATACAGGTATACCTCGCTTTACATTGGTAATTGGTTCCAGGAGAGGCAACTTAAGTCAAAAAATGACGTAAGTCGAATTTACCTGTCTCCGAATTTACTTGTCACTAGGCTAAACCACAAATAACCATTCCCAGTTTTGTATTTTATTTATAAATGCATTTTTAATAATATATGGTTAATAAGAATCTATTTTAAGCTTACAAACAAATAAATTTTAGTTTTTAATATAGTACAGAAAAAAATAATCTATATTTACGAATTCATGTACTACAGTACATACTTGTAAATGTACATGTTTGCAATTTGGCGATGTTTACAGTACATCACGGACTCTCTATTTGTGAATGTGGTTTACTCTAAGACATTATAAAATAAGATGATTTTGTAAGGTTAAATAACAAATACAGTTATTAAAATTATCTTGCAACAGTAGAAAATAAACTAATTTATATTAAATTTACCAATATCGAGTGGCACTGACAACGACACCAAATGATAGATATTGGAGCTATCCTGGAAAACACCAATATTGAGCACTTAACATGTTAACTGACATCCGTACGGACAATCGGGCAGTGGGCGGTCGTACGGAGCCATCCGACTGCCCGCCATCAATTAAACAATGTAGTTTCACTCAAGGTTAAATTATTCTGGCTTCGTAAGACATTTTTCTGCATGCTAGTGGTGGCCTCTTGTGGGTGTCTATGCACTTGGCTTGGAATGCCGGCAGTCAGATGGCTAGAGCATCCCTTAGCTACGACCGCTGGCGCGTCGTATGGCCTCATGAAGTGTTTCAAGGTCAGCAGTCATAGTTTTTTTTTTAAATAAAAATCTATTTTATATCTGCTAGTGGTTTATTTTAATAGTAAATAGTTTAAAATATCAAAAACTAGTTTAATTATTCTCTTTTATCGCATATAAAGTAAATAATATTACAAAAAACAATCAAAGTATATAAGTGAGTTTTAATATATATTTACAGAAAAAAAAACAACATTTGCAGTGGAAACAAAGTGTGAAATACTTTTAACACAAAGATGTAAAAACTTTTAAGTAGGGGAGGACATCTAATTACAGAGGGTTGTAAAATAAATAGCCAGGGGAAAGTAGTCTCCCATTCAAGGCCATACGACTGCCCGCCGACGTGCATATATCTTTCTTATCTCCCCTCTCCTGTGATAGATCGACCCTTTTATTTACATTAAAATAAAATATTAGATATTTTCTAATATATTTAGATATTAGATATATCGTTTCTCATTTTGGCCCCCATTATGCAAAATATCATATTACAGCAGGCAGTTAACATGTTAAAGACCAATAAAAAAGATGACAACACAGAAATATAGATGTTTTCATGTTTCGCTCTCTACAATTTATAATGATTATATTAACATTTACTGTAAATGTATATATTTTAATATGATTTTATGTGCTTTAACGCTTTTCTAGTGATATTACAACTTCAATATTTGTGGCGGACGGACGTAAAGTCGAATAAAATGATTTAACATTTTTCCATATATTTTTTGACAAATGATGTATAATCGAGAACGACATAACTCAAGATATACCTGTATAATGTTTAAACATGCGTTATTATATGGATAGGACAGATAGAGTGTGACCCACATCCTATTTCTGAGATCAAAGAATGTTTCAATGAGAAGAAATAAAACTCATATTTAATCACTGAGCTTTCTACTGCCCCCTGAAAGCCTCCAGTGCCCACAAGGGGGCTTTATCGCCCACTTTGAGAAAGGATGGTTTAATATTTAATTTTCCCTAATTGACTCATCTCCAGATGTCTTAAAATATTATACAAACACAATTGTATATGAGTGCGATAATCTTTTTCTTAGAGAACACGACAACAGGGTACTCAAGGCTAAATATCACACATAGTATCTGGAAATCCTAGATAATTGTCTGTGTTTTATATTTATCAGTAACTTCCGTTTATAATTAAAAAAACTGATTGTTCAGACTTGACTAAATAAGTTTCGTTTAGTATGGAAAAATTTGTGTATAGATTTAAGTTCATCAGTCGCATGTACTTATTGTATGCAGGAAAATGTGAATCTGAATCATTATTTGTTTGATTGTAAGAAATTCGATCACTTGTGTTTATCAACATGTACTAATAGTGTTATTTGTAAAGAACCAGCTGATAAAATACACGGATTATTCTCTAACAACGATTTGGTTGAGACTATTTGGTATAAGTACAATTTATTAATTAAAGTAATTAAGTACATTATCCCTCCTCCTAATTTATGTATGGAGTATTCAAATAAATAAAAATTATTTCTGTACCACAATCTTCTTGCAAGACAAAACACCCACTCATATCAGAGTCAATGTGCAAAAGTCATTGCATTAGCACTTCATGAACAAAGTGATTAGCCAATCATTCCTACAGCATGGCCATCACAACCACCATACTCGATCCCTTTGAGATTTTTAGTTATAGGGATACTTGAAGATCATTATTTATCAGTGTGATGTTCCTAATTTTAAAAGACAGAATTTCACTACATATAAGTCGACTGCACCCAAGTCAGTTTATTCCACTGTTGAGTGCATTGTTCTTCAAATGTAAGAATTAGAACAAGAAGATGGAAGGCACATAAAGTAGAATTGTTAATCTGATTTATTAGTCACCTGAACATTTCCATGTGTTCAATTTGACATGTGTAAAATTACCATATGTGACATCGTAACCTATAGAGAGTTACAATCAATGGAATCTATAATCACCACACTAAATTGCAATAAAATCATTGCACTGTGTTTCAACTTCACTGAATTGTTTGAATTTTTTTGATAACCTATCTAATGTACAAATTGCACTGACATTGGTGGCAAATTTTTAGATAAAATTTTCAGATAATTTTGGAATTTGTGAAATCAAAATCCCATGATGAAGAAAGAATGTACACCAAATTTGATTGCATTTGGTCCACTAGTTCTGATATAACATAGGCTTTGGCCTGTTTCATCATCCATTACAGATATCAAACAAACTTCCAGCAGGTCATATTTGTTAAGGACATTCTTTCTTTTGAGGAAGTTGTAGATTGTTGGACTTATTCTAAAAGCCAAGGAAATGTTGCTGGCCTTAGTGATTTCCTTGAAGTTGTGTAGGAAGTGATAATTATATGTCACAGTTAAGAAGTTCCTTCATTCATCTAAGAGTACAAAAACAAAACCTTCCAATTTCAGAACTATGACAAAGACAGACACTGAATCTGCTCCTAATGCCACCACACCTGGAAAACCTGAAACAAAGCATCTCTGAAAACAGTGGAATTCATATCAGAGGATATGCTGGGATGCATTTTTGCAGAACTGGACAACTGTCTGATATTTGCTGTATCACTAACAACACCCACATTGAACATTTGTAATGTATATGTGATTTCTTCTGTTTTTTTGCATGTCATTACTGTTACTATATGTTATTTCAGATAACAATCTATCAGCTTTACTTTTGCCTCATCCTTTTTGAATAACTCCATATTATTATTATTCATGTTTTAAATTCTAACTACCACTTCATTAAAAACAGTAAATGGTAATAACAATGATAAACATTTTTATATAAAATTATACAAACATATAAATCATAATTAAAATATTAAAATCCAAGACTTACCCTCATATTTTGATGTATTAACATTTTCTTCGTGCCATTCAACAATACACCAGTAACTGCACATAATTTCCCATAATGCTTTACACAGATTTATCAAACATGGTGTAAAACTTTCTGCTGTTATATGCTGAAAATTTAAATTTAAAATAAACATTTATTTTATAAAATTGATTTCAAGCACATGTTTATTTTTATTACTTATTTTGTATTTTATAAGTTCATATTATTAAACAGATAACAAAAAGTTAACACTAAATAGACCAGATGTATCAACTGATGCAAAATTTTTCTGAGGTATCTTAATTTCAAGTAGCTTTAGCTCTTATACATTTTCTGACTTTTTATATTTTAATGTTACCAACATTTAGTAGTAATCTTATGGCTGACTTTTCAAATGCAATGCACATCTACTTCCAAGAATCAGTAGTGCAAATTGATATTTATGAGGAATCAGTTTGTAAATTACTATGGGCATTATTTCTCTCTCCTCAATAATAAAAAGATGAATCTTTTTGCTCTTTCATTCTTTTTCTCTTACAGTATCTGTTGAAGTTCTATACATTTTGTTAGAACATTCTATTATGGTATACTTGTGGGTGTTTATTTCATTTTAAACAGACATTCAGAATAACTTAATCTCCATTTTGAACTAAAAAACAAATATAGTAAAATTCCAAATGAAACAAGTGTTGTTTATTGACACCATTCCAGATTTTCATTAAAAATCATCAGGGAATTCATTCCTTCTGCATTTCATATATCATAAACAAATGATTGTGATATATGATCTATTTATATGAAAATGCTAAGGTTTTTAATTTTTAACAAAATACATTTATTAAAATTTCAAATAAATAATGAAAAATACTTCAGAAAATTTCATAAACAAAACTATAAATATAGATTTAGTAAAATATATTCAAATTTAATTTTTGATATCTGTGATAAAAAATAAAAAATTCTGAATCATCTAAAAAAAATCATAGTTACAAACTCTACAAACAAACAAAATTCTACTTTCAAAACACAAATTATTCTTCCAAATTCAATTTGTAACATTAATTTTTGATAAATAAGATGAATTTGTTCATCACAGCACTTTTTAAGAACATTTTTCTTGCATTTGATGAAATATTGTTTAGTACATTTAATACAATGAAAGAATAATTTTTATATAATCACAATAGTTAATCAATTCTAAATTTTTATTTAAAATATTCACAATATTGATATCATTGATATCATCACGAATTTTTTACTTACTTTACATAGATCTGTATATTGCCTTTTCTGGAAATTAGTTTCACTCTGACCGGCACACAATTCAACGTATCCCAAAACAATTACAAATGCTTTGTTATGAATAGCACTAGTAAAATGCATTAATAACTGATCCATTGCTGTCTATAAAAATAATAAACATTTACATAACTAGCATAGATCATTATTTAAATAAATATTTTACATGTAAATTGCTAATAATAGTTAAAAGAAAAAAAAAAGTAATTAAGAAATCTTCCAACAACATTACAGCCTTTTTCAGAGTCATTTTTATTTATTGAAATTGATAGCAAAGAAAAATCTTTGAAGCAAATATACATTGTTTAGAATTAAATGTTTAGAACATTTAATTAAATCTGGAGTTTTGAAATTGGCAACAAAAAAGAATTTTTATTTATTTATTTGATCATCTTATTTTTTATTATTTTTTTTAATCAATTATAATGAATAGTCTAATTAGTCATAAAACAAAACAATCACTTGTAAACTATCATAAATCTGAAACAGTTTCATTGATATCTTTATTAATTGAAATGTAATAATGAATGTCATAAAAATTATACTTTTTCTATAAATATTTTATATTATACAAAAAATAAAAATATAAATTATTATTATTTTTAAAACTTAATAAAGCTGTTAAAAATTTGATTATACATTACATTACCAAGCTTATTAAAATATTTAACAATAACGCATTACAATACCTGTGTTTTTCCCAGAAGTTTATAAGCAGCTTGAAGTTTCTCATAGTATGTTTTATCAAACTGACAACAAACTTTGGATAAGGCAACATCTAACTGTTCTTCTGTCATTACTAAAGTATCTTTCAGTTTTGAACTTAAATCACTGAAATCAAATACTCCATATAAATTACAATATTTTTCTGTTTATATACTAATCTCATATATATTTTGTTTTAAATTATTAATAAAATAATATATAATTATACTAAATTAATAGCAAAAACTGTTTTAAATTTGTATATTATACATTCTGTTTCAAACACAAAAAACAACAATGGACTGCATTAACGTAATAAGGCAATGCAGCATGTGGTCAATTTGTTGTGGATGTCTCCTGGGAGGCCTTTCTATAGGAAACTAGCTCCTATTTAGGTTTTACGCATGTGAAGAAAATCCAAAAATTCCACATGGCCAGCCCATTGGTCAGGTTCAAACTCAAAATTATCAGTGTTCAATAGTTTTATCCACTCAATCACTGATGGATCAAAACAACAATGGGAAAAATTATTATAATAATGGTTCATAACCAAAGTTGAAACAAAACATTACAATATAATATAAATCAAAATTTATACACACTTGCTGTACAAAATATGTATAGTTGCTCATATAAATTATAAAAACAACAAGTATATTTTCATTACACTTTCTATTTCTGACTTCTTGCCCTCTAATTTGGTTGTTCTATTTATAATTTTGCTAATATACATATTAAAAGTATTTCTTTTTATATATATCAGAAAACTAACAGTATAATTCATTACCTTGAATACATTACTTTCTTTTACATACTTAATAAATATTTCTTTGTTTGTTATAGTTAGCATTACATCCAAAAAATGTAATCTGTTGTTGTTATCTTCTTCAATTTCAAATACAATATTGCTATGTATGTATATTAATAATAGTTAAGGTATCTTTAATTTTAATTTTCTCATTATCATCCATACTAATATTATAAAGAGGTAATGTTTGTAAGTATGTAAGTTTGTATGCAGCAGGTAATCTCCGAAATTACTCACCCGATTCTTTCACCAATATTTAGAATGGAACTTCAGGGTGGACATAGGCTGTATATTACTCTGTTAAACATTCATCTGAATTAAAAGACATAATCTAGGTTAAGGCTTTTATGTCCAACAGATGGCGCTACAAGTACGACACCCTAAGTTTGGTTTTCTGTGAGGCATTATGCTTTTCTGTGAAAATGAACTAAAGCAGATCATCATCTATCTATTTATATAAATAAAAATGTAATGTTCGTTTGTTCCTACCTATTCCTTTGAAATTTTGACACAATGCTGCATTCGAATACGCACGTGTTTTTATATAATATACATGTCGAAATTCAACCCCACTGATGGGAGATGGTTAGGATTAAGGCTTACAGTAAAGAACTCTGCTTCTATTTATACTATTTTAGATGTGGGTTTTTGATTGCGTTTTAATAGGGTATGTCAAGAGAATGTACACTAAGAAGAAATTTTTCAAAAAATTTCCTCCCCCATGGGGGAAGTGTTATAAATTTATAATAGATACATTTTGAGCCACAACAATGCGTGGTGGGGTCTGCTAGTATACAATAAAGTAATCATCTACATAATGATTTACAAAACTTAAGCCCAGTATATTAGCTATTATTTGGTCTATGTTTATCATAGTCGACTCAGCCAATTTATGGTCTATACAAGAACCCATAATTATGCCATCTTTCTGTCTATATTGATTTTTGTATACAAAATAATTACAGTAGAGCGTTGTTTATCCGAAACAATTTGGGACTGGGGTTGTTCGGATAACTTATTTTTCGGATAACCGATTGTGTACGAAAAAGTACATTAACCTATCCTGTGTTGAAATTTTTCTCCGTTGTGTGTCGCTCGACGTTGAATTTTCGTCGATGTTAAGCCTAATGTAAACTTTTTATAATGATAATCGTGGCTATTGTATCATTAAAAATTATTTCTTTATTTTTTACAAACAAAATAAATATATTGAAAAATATAAAAACAAAAAAAAATTTATACTTTAGAAGTTATCTAGTATCAAAAGCATTCGATTCAGCATGACACACAGTCCTCAGAAAAACACCACACAAAAGTGACAGTGCTGCCAGCTAAAAACATACACAAACATAAAAAAATATTGGAGTAGCCCAAGATATAGCCAAAGATTACAGCGTCACAACACTAGCGAAAATTTAAATTTGCTTACTGGAATTCTTTCGGATAATCAACTTTTGGATAAATGACTCTCTACTGTATTATGTAAAACAAACAGTGTTTGAGATTCAAGATTCATTCATCAACAAATTTCATAGGACATGGCAATGTGAGAATCAGAACTTCAACTAAACAATTTAACGTCATAACATCAACTTTGTTATCTGTCAACTTTCACACCTGGCAGTATATCTTTTTTTAAGTTCTCAATGTCATTAAAGATGCTTTCACGCGACCTTCTGTCCTGCTGTCCCAATTTCATCCTTTCAATATAACAACTAGCTACCAACTATCAGCAATTGTCACCAGTTCCTCAACCAAGCCACTCATTTTCCATGCCTCAAATTTCGGATACATCTGGATATATCGTTTTATTATATGTTCAGATATATTGTTCTATTATATCAGCAGATACCTCGTTCTATTATATCATCAGATAAATAATTTTAATTATCTCTACAGGTATGTCATCCTTCTCACCTGTGGCCATACTATCAACTGTCGACCTCTGAACTAAGAACTATCATCTAGAACTTTCTTCTTTTCAACCCAACCGGCAAGTATCCAATCTCCAAATACTCTACAAGGCATTTATCCTCCGCATGCTCTAGTGTAAAATCTTTCTCTCGCGACATGTATATATTTTTTCCTCTTTTTATAAATGAGGTTATTTGTTTGGTTAATTGGAATCCAAGTGAGTAGCTACCAACCCACTACCCAACAGTCTCCATCCTGAATCAGATTGCCTGCACATGAAGTTGCTTGCGTGACCTACTTTTAAACCAAACCTCACCAATGCAGCTTTCAGGTCAATGAGACTCTGAGGTGTCACTCCTGATGAGGCACCAAAGAGGTGCCAATCCTCTGGTCACAGCAACATAGATTACTAAGACCCCTTAATAAATGTGTAACTGAAAATGAAAACTTATTTGAAATGGAAATGTAAACACATGTGTAATGTTTACATTTGTTGACATTGAACATTCAGCCAGCTGGAAAATTTTGTGACAAAACGGCTTTTAATAATGTTTTGTCAAGCAGAGTTTATCACACTTTACAGATCATTTTATGGTCAATGGAAGCATTTTCAGAAAAAATGTTTGAGACAAAACTTGTCTCATGAGTTTAATCTGAATCTAAAATAAAAAGTATCATATTCCATTTTGAAAATTTTGACTTTGGCTTGGATAGTCCATTTCCAGCTAGTACCAAAAGTTGAAAATATCACCTTTCAAATAGAGCATACCCAATTTACTTACCAAAATTTTAAGATTTTTGATGAAACTTGTTTCCTTGAATTTTAAAACAGGGTGTATGGGTGGTCTTTGTCATCCTGTAAATCTATGACATTAACCTTATAATGATAGTACAAATTAATGCCATGTAAGTGACATAAATTTCAATTTTTTAAGTTTTAATTTGGAACCTTAAATAATCCTTTATTGTATATGTTTCAGAAAAATGAACGACATTGAAATATAAAGTAACTAGTTTTTGTAAACATCTCTTGTATCACAATTATTATAGGTATGCTGTATGTTCATGACAAACTAATAATCTAGTTATTATTTCTTTATCACATTGATAAACTTATAAATAAAAATCAAAACTTAATTTTTTAATATAATTTAAATAATTTTAATATTGAAATTGATGCTGTAAAGAAATTGCTTAATCCAAAATTACAACATAAAAAATTACTTACCAAATACATTTATAATGTTTAAATGTGCTAGCAGCTTTTTGACATTCCAGACACAACTGTATTGCTCCGGGATAATCTTCCTCCTTTAAAACAATTATTTTAATAAAGAAATATATTTTAAATAAAACATTTAAAATTTCTCATTCATCATATATATTAATATTTGTCTAATAAATACTATTTCTACTTCATATTGAATTCAATAACAGAGTAAAAAAACCTCATTTCTCTCATTCCATTATTGAATTAACTAACTGAAATATCAAAAATTACAAAATATGTAATGTTTATAATTTTAGAGAATTAGTCTTTGTAATGATTTTGAAGATTAATTTTTGGCTTTTAACAGATTTTCAGACTTTTTCACTTAAGTTATAAAACTTTTAACAATTCCATATCTGTTAAATAATAAAATATGAAAATTTACTGGAGATGAAAAAATAATTTGTTAATATATTTTAAAATCCTAGAGAAGTCAGATCACAGGGTAACTTGGTCTGTATTATTATTGTGTGATTATAATGCCTAATGGCAGAGAGAAACCTTCATTTTTGGTATTCAAATTATCTTGTTCACTGTCATATGAACTCATAAGGATCACATCCAAGAACTACTTGAAAATCTAACACAAGTTCTTGGGAACAACAAGAACTCTTTAAACTCAAAAAGTTCTAAATTCTTACATTCTAATACTCCTGTCTTTAGTTGGAATCACTTTGAATTAAACTTAGTAATAAAATTTTTTTAAATATATTAGTGATTTACTATAAAAAAAATAAATGTAATTGTCTAATACTTCTCTAANATACATATAACTAACACCTTATCTTTGCCCAGAAATATAATTTATTTCAAACAAATGTTTTCAGCCTGATTCACAGGCCATCTTCAGGTTGAGAACCAAATTTGAATTAACATTTGTTTGAAATAAATTATATTTCTCGGCAAGGATAAGGTGTTAGTTATATGTATAGTGATTTGCTGAGTACTTTATATGATGAATAAAACTATATTAAAATTTGAAATATAGTGCTTAACAAATACAGTATTGTTAATTTATGACTGATTAATCATTTCTTTAAGTTATATGCATTTCTGAACTGCCATCTGGAGACATTACTAGTATTAATCATTAAATTTAATCAATTGATTCTTAAAATTGATCAATAATAAAAGTTAATCTGAAGTCAGACTTTGTTTGCTAAGACTCTTGTGAATAAATTATTTTTCTACAATGAATAATAGTTTTATTTATAAAATAAATATTCTCTCTTATTTCTTGAAAATCATGGTTTAAATTGTTTTTTAATAATTTTTCTTAATATTTCTATAAGATCAGATTTTTAGTTAAGAAAAATTTGATAATAATTCCTTCTAATCCTTTTATTTATTAAACATAAAAATTTAAATAAATTACTTTATCATCAAAGTTTGAATTATAAAACTATATTTATATTCAGATGAATACTTTTATATTCAAATAAATAAATGTATAAACCATAAATTTTCCTTACTGATTGATTTTATTGTAAAAACATAGCTTTCAAACTATTATTATTATTATTTTTTCTTTTGTAAATATCTAATGTACTATGAACTATGATAAAAATATGATTTATAAATTACTTACTTCAAGTAATTCACCTAATCGTACATCAGTTTCTTGCTATAAGTATAACCATTTACCAAAATTAGTATATTAAAATATTATTTATTCTAAGTTTTCTTCCTTACTTATCATATAAAAATAAATTATTTCTAACATACTTTATATATTAGCAAAAATTATCAGAAAATTCTATAGATTAATTTCTAGATCATGTAGTTACACATCACATTACAATCCATATTTTGGTATCAGTTTCACTTAATTTGTATTCTATCTCCCCCATTATGCTACAATGAATTTTAAATATAGCATAGGTAAACACAATTTTAACAAAGCAGTAATCATCAATATATATTATAAAGGTAAGTGTACAATGTGCATGTTGCTAAAACTCAAAAATGAGTCCCGGTACGATCAAGGAAGTTATATGGTGTGGTAGCCCTCTATCTCCCATCCATGAAGAAGGTTCCCGTTTTTACCTGAAGGGCGTGCTGTTCAAGATATAAGGGCTGGAAGTTTCACCCTGTAGAAATTCTAGAACAGNCTTTGAATAGTTATCTTTTACCAAATCCTATTTAAAATAAAAAGATTCTCTAAGCAGTTAAGATTGAACAATTTCAATGTCATGATTGACTCAATTTTTTGAAGCACAGATTATGTAATCAATATATATTATAAAGGTAAGTGTACAATGTGCGTGCCGCTAAAACTCAAAAAAGAGTCCCGGTACGATCAAGGGAGTTATATGGTGTGGTAGCCCTCTATCCCCATCTATGAAGAAGGTTCCCGTTTTTACCTGAAGGGCGTGCTGTTCAAGATATAAGGGCTGGAAGTTTCACCCTGTAGAAATTCTAGAACAGTCCAGAACATTCGAGAGTATTCGAGAGCATTCCACAACATTCCAGAATGTTCCTGGATATTCTGGAATGTTTGGGAATATGCCGGAACATCCCAGAACACTCTCGAATGTTGTGGAATGTTCTGGAACATTGTGGACCATTCGAAGCCTATTTTGTATAGGTGGACTACCCATTTGTGGGGGTATATAAAGCAAGATCCGTCGTGTGTTCGATCGTCAGTTTCTTATCAGTAACGAAGGGAAGAACCGAAAAAGAAGTGAAAANAACACCCAGAACATTCCAGATCATTGTGGAACATTCCAGAACACTCTCAAATGTTGTGGAATGTTCTGGAACATTGTGGACTATTCGAAGCTTTTTTTGTATGGGTGGGACTACCCATTTGTGGGGGATATAAAGCAAGATCTGTAGTGGGTTTAAACTTCAGTTTCTTATCAGTGACGAAAGGAAAAACCAAAAAAGAAGTGAAAATTCCAAATGCAGTGAATGAATAAAAACAAACATGAAGTATGAGTAGTCAAAGTGATACAGTAACTGAATATAAATCGAAAATAAAGTGTGAAAACTATGTAAAGTGTACTTAGTGTATTTGTTAATAAAAAGTTGATTTGATTTATATTTTATACAATGCCCAAACTTAAAAGAGGAGGAGCTCTTGCCAATTCTGAATTTTCTTTTGAATATTAAAGTTGATATCGTCGACAATATTATTTTTAGTTGCCAAAATTGCCNAAGTATGAGTAGTCAAAGTGATACAGTAACTGAATATAAATCGAAAATAAAGTGTGAAAACTATGTAAAGTGTACTTAGTGTATTTGTTAATAAAAAGTTGATTTGATTTATATTTTATACAATGTCCAAACTTAAAAGAAGAGGAGTTCTTGCCAGTTCTAAATTTTCTTTTGAATATTAAAATTGATATCGTCAACAATATTATTTTTAGTTGCCAAAATTGCCCTTTGAAATAGCCACTCCGGATTGGTATAATTGTGAACAATGTTTGGATAAATTTGGTCGATGAATTCATTTTCAGTAGTGGCTATGTTGCAAAAATCACTGTTGAGTTCAATGAGGCCAGTTGTCTAGTCAGTGGGATATGTGCCTTTGCCTATTTGTAAAAGTTTTTGAGCAAAATGTTGTTTATAAACAAGTATTGTAAATAGTTAGAATATGTTTTCAATAAAATTTTTTTACCTCTTATATTTTAAAGTTTATCCTTTTATTCCAACTACCACACAATCTCATATCAACTCCCTGAACGAAGCCGGTACTTCACCTAATTGTAAATAAATTGGGCAATACAGCAAAATCATTTTGAAGTAAAATAATTATTTGTTTGACCTTGATTAGATAAGAAATTGAGATATTAAATTTTTTATAGAGAGGAAACGATTTTCTTCAATTAATGATGGACGCTCAGGAAGGATTACTTGAAAACACCGCCGAAGACTTGAAAGAAGTAGAGAATGAAATAAATAATTACAAAGTTCAACCTAAACATAAAAGTATCCATTTTTCTTTCATTATCATTTATTAATTCTTGTTGGTGATTTATTTCATAATTTTAATATATTGTGTTTTAGCAATGACACTCGACGAAATTGTTGCTCAGTGTGTTCTTTTTATTATCGGTGGCCACGATGCAACGACAACAACCATGACATTCTTAGCTTATCAAATGGCATTAAATCCAGAATGCCAAGAGAAGTTGTTGAAGGAAATAGATGAAACATGGGAAACACATGTAAATAAATGCTTTCTTATTCTTGTCAAGTACAAAGATTTTATATATATTATTTATCTTTCATTTATTTAATTCTAAATTAAAATTCTTACTCTTACTCAACTGAGTATAAAACAATTCTTCAAACGAATTTACAGTTAAAAATTAAAATCTGCTAGGAATAGAAAGGTAAAATAACCGTTTATTTTAAAAATATGCGTTATTCATTAATTCCATTTATATCTTAATAGAAAGAAATCGGAAACGCTTAAATAATCTAATATGAAAGATTTAAAAAAAAATTCAGTACGAAATAGATCAAGCAATAAACAAAATTACAATCATGCAGAAAAATTTTATTGTTTTATCAAGATTTTGCGTTCGATCATTTAAAGAAAGTAACTTCTTTTAAAATTTTTTTTGCTATGTGAGCACTAAGAGGGCGAATTCGTCGATCAATTCCGAGTGGATTTAATGAATGGCCCGGATTTGATCCTGATTCCCAGGGCAGTAAATTTATCCATAATCGCTTCGGTCATCAGGGAGCGAAGCGAAAAATTATTAAAAAGAAACATCTATTAGGAGAGCTTAGGGAACAAACAAACATTCATATGAGGATGATTGTTTGTTCGCTAAGCTCTCTTAGGCCGTTCGACCTATTGCTACGAACTCGGCAGTTACATAAACATAGTTACATAAACATAGTTCCACAAAATATCGATGGAATTTGTATATATCAATTAATTTCTGGCTACATCCGATTTTCTGCCTTTATACGTATTACCATTTTTTGGAAAAAAATTTAAAAATAGTAAACTAGATATAATCCACAGAAAAAGGATGTAATTAAATATACTGTATATATTACATTTACTTAATTCCTGCAACAAGGATATAGCGAGATGATGATGCGCTATATCATTATTGCGAAGAGTAGGACATAGTACTCATCTACGTGGAGTTGATAGTGTTACACTATGAAACTACATAAGTGTTTCATTTTCAACATATAAAAACTCGGTTGTTTTCGTTTCTTAATAGTATTTAATTAATTCCAATAATTTTTTTTATAAAACTCGCTATTTACGAAAACATTCTTCTCAATTAGATTTTTTAAACTCTCTGTGGAGTTAAAGTCTTGCTAAAAGGAGGCCCTCTTAGTGCTATGGGCACGTAGAGCTTAGTACAGTCGATCCCCCTATAAGATATAGATACGTTCCAATTTATTAGGAATCCGATTTCTTACAAGTCGTTCCAATCACAGCCCGACACGTGTCAAGTTTACGGACTACGGCTGATTGAAAGGTTTTCTTCCATAAAATTAATCGATTCTACACTAATCCGACTCAACATTTCCAAAATACGTATATTTTTTCGTAGTTTTATAGGAATCGTAATTATAGGG